CAGGACCCTGAGATAAAGACCTGAGCTGAAATCAAGAGTTGGATGCTCAACTGACTGAGCCACCAGGTGCCCCAAAGACAGCATTTCTAACCATTGGGAGTAAAGATGGACTTCATTAGTGTTGAGACAATGGGATAGTCATTTGTAAAACAGCATATACTAGGATAAACTCCAAATACATTAAAGATTGATATGTTAAACCAAACAAATCCAGAAGAAAATACAGGTGAATTCCTTTGATTCTTGTCATGGGAAAGACCCATCTTAATATTGCCCAAAATCCAAAAGCCGTGAAAGAAAATACTGACACACACATTCAGTTACATAAAGATAAGCCCAGGTAGCAAAACTTATCATCTTACAACTCATGTACAAAGGGCTCAACTCTCTGATGTATACACAGAGCTCCTGGAACCAGAGTAAACCATTGTTCCTTTACACATTGTATATCACGTATCTGTGGAAAGAGATGAAGGAGAGCTCTGTCCTGTTACAGTCACAGATCCAGGGCAGACTGCTAAGTGAACAGTAGTATGTGTTATCCTGTGAAAGGGTAAGAAAGAGTATATACATATATATATGTATGTATGTTTCTGTTTGCATAAAGAAACATTGGAAGGGGAGCAGAGTGGCTAGGGTCAGTGATGTGGAATCTGACTTCTCAGTGTGTTTCTTTTCATGTCATTTTGATTTTTGTATCAAACTATTTATTAGAAAATAAAATGAAATAAAAGATGGTGACCAGTGATAGTCGAAGTCCAGTAACATTTCTGTCTTTAGGAATTTGTATTTGTTTTTAAGATTCCATGATTATTTTAGTATAGCCTGCAACTTACAATGTTGATTTTTACCCTTTGATATAGAAATCCCGCTCCTGGAAACCCATTTGAAAATGACTATGTAATTTTTGTTAAAATTTTCAAATCCAGCAGATGACTGGTGAAATAAACAATGGAGCATATGCAGGATAGAATGCTGTGGATAGTTAGGCCATGATTTTACTGAACAACCATTTAGTAGTTAATACTTCGATTTTAAGCCAGTTCTATTTTTGTACATGGAATAATTTTTCCCCTTAGATTTGCATGTACACATTGTCAAAGATCTGACAAAGAACAAACTCACCCCCTGCAAATTCCCCCTTTTCCTTTGGGCACATAGGACATGATAAAAACTGCAGCATCAAGATGCGAGATTTCGCCCTCCTCTCTTTTTCCCATTTATGTGCAATTGTATGTATGACTTACAGAGCAAAGCTCATTATTTGTCCTCAGTACTTTAAAGGACCAGCACTGATCTTTCATCAGTCCTGGAAATCCTAGAACTCCTATGCCTCTCTTGTCTTTCAAAAATTCCCACAGGTAAGGACACTCAAATCAATTAGTTAAATAATAGAATTTGTATGTCACCTTTTAACCACTTGTCTCTGGAAGATCTCTGGGACAGTCAATGAGATGGATTTCAAGTCTCTATTGTCTTATATAGATGTTAGATCTAATTCTGTGGTTAGAATGTCAAAACAGTAGATTCTTGGGATTGTGAAAAACCATAAGGGAGCACCTTAACCACTGGTTTTAAGACTTGATTGTGACCCCAATAAGATATACATTCTTCTTCATGACCCAGAAGATATGCCTAACCTAGAATATACATACATACATACATACACACACCTAACAATGTAAGTGCCCCAAACCTAAATTCCAGGAAGCCATATATATACCTCTACAATGTGGCATGCTCTAATATGTTCTAATTTATCCCTGACAGGCCATGAGAAACACTGCCCTAATGCAACTTTTTCATCAGCAAGTGGAAGCACAAAGAGGTAGAATAGTTGATGATAAATAGTCAGGACTAGGTCTCCTCTGCCCCTGATGCTCCAAGCCTTAGGACTCCATACTTTCTCCCTTTATACTCTTTTTTTACCTGAGTCATCCCCTGGGTGACCTCACCCAGGTTCATGGCTTTAAATGCCATCCATATACCAATGATTCCCAAGTGTATAGTTCCACCTTAATTCAACACCATCTACCCCAGAACTATTCTTCTCAAAGCTACCAGTCACCTCCATACTACCTACCCAAGAGGCTACTCTCAGGTCTGTACTCCATTCAGTCAATCTGCAGCGTTTGGACCCAGTCGCTAACACCCTCATCTACTTAGTAATCTCATGGACTCAATTTCTGACTCACTCTCTTCCAGCTCTACCACAGCACACCTGGTTCTCTTAAGATGATTGGCTTAGAAAAAACATCTTTTTCTAGTTCCTTCTTTCAGCCACATTGAGTTTTATAGATCATATGATCATATCAATATATTAAAATCTAAAAGCTGAAAAATTTTCTGAAAATAAAAGAAAATTCGAAAGTATTTAAAATTATGGAGATACCAAAAATTAACAGATATCCTAAAGGACAAACCATAGCTTAATTAAAACCAAGAACTAAAAAGAGATTCCTGCTAAAGTATTTACTTTGGAAAGTCTCAGCAAATACATACAAAAAGGAAACAAAATGCTTTATGTTCACATTGAGGAAGATGAAGCAATAAAGTTAGTTTGCTAATGACTAGGAAAAACTCAAGGGGCTCTATTTTAAAAAGTAACAAGTGGAATTATAGAAATTTGATAAGTTCACTGGATACAACATGTCAATACCTTTCCTTCTTCCTAGCAGTAAGACCTAAAGGAGTCTTCCAGTTCACAGTAGAAACAGGCACACAAATTAATAAAGGTATATGACTTATATGGAGAGATCAATAGAAAAGGACACAGAAATAGATCCTATTATTTAAGACTTTACAGAGGACATACTTCAGTGGGAGAAATGGATGGATTATTTAATAAATTGTGTTAGGACAACTGGCCATCTGGGCGAATATAAACTTGGTTTCTAAAAGTGCATAAAATTAGAGACTAAAAATTTTTTAGGAAGCAACATTTTTTAGAAGAAAACCTAGGCTGCTGAATGAATAATGGAGGCATTGGGTTCAGCTTCTTAACCAAGAATGGAAATCTAGAAGCTTTAAAAGAAAAGTTTCTAACATTTAATATTTGGGACTTTATATAGATCTCACTTTATATAATACTTATAAATGGAAAATACAGCATAAACAAAATCTAGTAAAAAAAAATGCCAAAATCAGAAAACTGTCTGAAATACAGGCAACAAGTAGTTCATTCTCATATGTATATGTATGTGTGTGTGTCTGTGTGTGTGTATACAACCCAACACAATGGGATAAGAAAGAAACTGCCTGATGAAAAAAAATGAGCAAAAGTATAAAGCCTGCATTCTCTGAAGGGCATAATCAAATGACCAATAAACCTAAAGAAAGGATGTATTAGTGGCCATGATGATGTCAATCAAAGGGACAATGTGAAATAATTTTATATCCTTTTACACTGGCAGAAATTGAGACCACACCTTGGTGGTTGAAATGGATGAGGGGAAACTATTTCCAGAATATGTCAGCACCAATTGAAATATAAAATACACTCTAATCTAGCAATTTCAGTGTAGAACTATTGCATCCTGGTCAGCAATAATAAATGGAAACAATGTCAATGGTTATCAGCAGGAAATGTGTGAATAATTTGTTACTGCAGGTGAAGGACATGAAAAAGATTGGACTTGAACAGATTTTCAAAAGGTTTCAAGAGAAAAGATTCAGGGTGTATGAAGTCACTGTTTTGTAAATAACCCTAACCAAAACCCAAAATGGACAATGATGCTTGTATAGGATAGGTGGTCATAAAGGACTGAGTTCATAGCATGAACACCAGGTTTAAGGGAGAGGAAGTAGAGATGTTAAGTGCCTATCTGGCAGATGTTATAGGATAGGAGGCCAGCAAAACAATGGAAAAAAGATCATTTTTAAAATAGAAGAATTTGTAGGACCATGATGTAAAAATAAGGACTTACAACCAAGTAGGACCATGATGTAAAAGTAAGGCCTTACAAACAATTGAGCGATGTTAAGTAGTACCACTGGCTTGCCACATCTTTTCTCCTCGAAGGTGAAAAGACATTAAACTCTGTATCCCAGAATTACATTTCAAAAACCTAAAAGGACAATTCTGCATAAGTGTTCTTCCCTACTTAATAGCGCCAGTTTCCAGAATGGAAACCCCTGCACCCGATGAAATACTCTCGTTAGGTACAGTGGTCTTTCAAATGTCCAATCAGGGCAGCTTTGTTCCGTTATATGCAGAGGAGCCCGGTTAAGGGCTTTTGGGCTTCAGCTCTTAACTTCATTGCAGCCAGACTCCTTTGTCATCACCACCGCCAGAAACTTGCAGCCTGCGACTCGACCCACGCGAAGGCGCCGCGCCAGCAAAACCAACCTGCAGCTGCCAGAGCGCAGCCCAAGGAACTCAGGCCTGCCTGATAGGGCTCAAGGACACCAACCTGCGCGCCATCCAAGCCAGGCGCGTCCTCATTAAGGCCAAGCACATCCAGCTGGCGCGCCGCGTTTGTGGGTGTGGCCAAACAGGCCACACTCGGGGCCCCCGGGAACACTAGGTCCTGGCCTCGAACCCCCCCCCCCCCCAAGAGAATCCTAGTGGCCAGGTGTGCACCGGGCCCATGCTTCCAGCTGAGGCTGGGATGAGGCTTCGGTCAAGCTTAACTGATTAGCGCTGATGGCGAACTAGCCTGGGGTGTGGGACCTATGGGGCAGGCAGGGGTGTCCAAATCCTCCCATAAAGGCAAGGTTATGGACTCCGGCAAAACCTGGCAGGAACGTAACCAGGTCGGGGGTTCCCAAGTCCCCGAACGCGCACTTGGCCTAGGACCCAAGACCACGGAATTTCCTTAGATACCTAAGGGACGGTGGCCAGGGAGTGGGGAGGGTGGACCGAGCACAGCTGTCGCAAGAGGGCAGAGACTGAGGCCAGAGCCAGAACACACTGCATATCAAAGCTCTTTCCCTGAAGTATGTTGGTGGCTCTTAAAAGAGCCGTTGGGTTATTGGAAGTCAAGTTCCAACTGCAACGCTTACTTCTTGGGTGCCGCCTTCTTGGGCTTGGCAGCCGTCTTGGGCTTGGTCACTTTGGCCTTGGCCGCCTTGGGCTTCACGGCCTTGGCTTTGGCGGGGCTCTTGGCGACCTTCTTAGCCTTCACCACCTTGGGCTTCTTGGGGCTCTTGGAAGCCTTCTTGGTCACAGCCGGCTTCTTGGCCTTTTTCGGGGTCTTGACCGCCTTTTTGACAGCCGCCGTGACCTTCTTGGGTTTCTTTGAAGCGCCCGCAACCTTGGCCTTCGTTACCTTTGCGGGGTTGGCCTTGGCCTCCCCGGAGGCCGCCTTCTTGTTGAGCTTGAAGGAGCCCGAGGCGCCGGTGCCCTTGGTCTGCACCAGGGTCCCCTTGCTCACCAGGCTCTTGAGGCCCAGCTTGATGCGGCTGTTGTTCTTCTCCACGTCGTAGCCGGCGGCCGCCAGCGCCTTCTTGAGCGCGGCCAGGGACACGCCGCTGCGCTCCTTGGACGACGACACGGCCTGGACAATCAGCTCCGACACGGAAGGGCCCGTAGGCTTCTTCTTGGCAGCGGCCGCGGGCTTGGCCGGCCTCTTGGCCTTCTTGCCGGCCGCGGGCTTCTCAGGGGGAGTGGAAGTGGCGGGAGCGGGTGGCGCGGTCTCAGACATGGCGAAAGGAGCGCGAAGAGAGCCGACTGCCAGAAGCGGACGGAGCAGAAAGACGCCGGAGGCCCCCGTGCGGCGTATTTATAGGGCGGGGCCGTGCTGTGATTGGTGCTCTCAGGCGCCCGCCCCTCGCCCCCGAGCGCCCCCTGCCGCCCCCTGCGTCGCCGCCCGGGGCGCCGCACCTGAAGGGACGGCGGCAGCTCCCCGCGATCGCCGCTTGCGGTGTTCCGATCGCAGTTCCGGGCGGGCAGGGCTCGGGCTCGGAGCGCGGGAGCGGCGGCGGGGCCACCCCGCTTTCTACAGCTGGCCTTCTTACCCCGGGGGGCGAGGGGGACAGCGCTCTGTGAGGGAGGCGGTCAGATGAAAACTCGGGGACGCGTCGTCAGGGGCGTCCGTTTCCAACCCGCGGTGAATGTGAAAGGTCGTATGTGGGGCGGCGCGGGAGGGGGACAGGAAAGCGGGCTGTGTGCGCGTGTGTGTGTGCGTGCGCGCGAGCGAGCTGGGGCGGCGTGGAGGAGGGGCGGCCTTGTCCGCGGGGCTGGCATCAGCCCTCATCAGCGCCGCCACCCTTCCTGGCGACCCGAGGACGGAGGCGCGGGGTCGACAGCTCTGAGCGGCTGCCCACAGGCGCGGCCGGGCGAACGCCGGAGCTCGCTGACGCCGTCCTTCACGCGCAGGCGGCACGTGTGGAAAATGCAGTGCACGCTGAAACATTCCTGTGAGCGGAGAAGGGCTCGCTTTCACGGGGCAGTGCACCTCGCGGCTTCCTGGTGCCTTCCCAGGCCTCCCAGCGCAGCCACAGCAGGGGCTGAGTCCTCGCCTCGCCCCGTTCCGTGTCGCCGTGCGGTTCCTCAGCGGCGGAGCTGCCAGGAGGGCAGAGGAGGGCGGGCTGGACTCCATGCGCCCCTCCCCCACGCTTGAGGGGCTGGAGAGCCTCTGTCCTGGCGGGACGCCCCCCCACTGCCCCCCGGCGACTTTCTAGGGCAGTCGTCCTCTAGTTTCCTTGGGCTTTCGGAAGCATTTCGGGCACCGGCAACACTCCGGTGACTAAACGGGGCAAACCCGACACATGAGAAAACGCGTCTCGCGGCGCGGAGGAGACCGGCGCCCTGTCCCCGGGCTCTGCGCAGCCGCTTGCGGCCAGGCGGGGTCGGTGCGGTCGCTCTCAGCGCTGCGAGCCTCAGGTTCTCAAACGAGTCCGCGCGGCCTTAGTGCCGCGAGCTTCCCGGAGTCTCATGCCCGACAATCTTGTCACCCGCTTGCGGCCGACTTCCCGGTAACGCCTTCGCCACCACAGTCAATTGCTTCCCATTTTCCTGTTGTTTTCACAACACACGTGAATTACTACCACTTTGGGAGAGAACAATCGGAGATAGACGTTTGAAGGACAATGATAATAACAAGTATAACGTCATATGTAAATACACACAGCATGACCTATGTCCAATCCTCCAAGACGGTAAGGTTGCGTAGGTGAACATCATTCAGAAGTCCAAACTTTCTTACTCTAATAACCGAGGACTGTAATTAAACGTAGCTTTTTAAAAGGAAATACAGGATTCGGGAATTTCTAAGGTTCCGGCCTCCTGTGTAACCATTGGATTAGATGGGCTTCACATAAAATACGAACGTTCCACCTAAATGAAAGCATGGCTGAATCTCTTAAAGGCTGATCAGTATACACTCAACCAAGGAAAAGGTAGAATCTGGTCTACCTACTCTTGCTACAAAAGGGTTGTATTTGATGTTTTTAATTTTGAAAAACATTTTAAGGACTATAAAATTAGGCCTTGGCGGTGAGAAGTTGGCCCTTCTTGTGGCTCAGAATCCAGGTGATTGGCCGCGTACACGCCTGCTCCACAAGGCTCGAGAGGTTGGTACTGGAGAATTGAGTCATTGATATTTTACACCTGACAAAATGTACTCTAAGCTTAAAATATGAGTTGCAGAAAGCTCCAAGTTTGGAAGACATGATTAACATTTAACAAATTGGTGCCTGATTACTGGAAATATTTCTGTAAACGCCAGTATAATTTAACTATGGTTGAGATGGTCTTCAAAGGAGCTCCTTCATTTAAGCATTGTAAAGGGGTGCCATTTTTGAAAAAGGTTTCAGAAATTTATAATCCGATATCGTGTTATTGAGCAGGGAGTATAAAGAGTACATTATTGGGGGGCAATATTTCTCAAATTTCTCCCCAAGAAATGAAGAACTATCGAGTCTTGGAGTACAATATGAACAAAGTCAATGACTACTTTTTTGAAAACGTTCAAGTCACTGCGCTCAGACTGAAAATCAGATGTGGAAGAAAGGAACAAAAAGCTTGAAAAGATGAGGATTACGTGGTAGCCAATGAAACTGCGCTATTGTTGGAAAGTTAAAAGATAGACCAATCAGGGCTTGTAACATAATATCAGCATTTTTTTATCGTCCAATCACTACACTTTATGTACTATAAATATAAGCAAGTAGCCAAAACGAGGTATTCGTGTCTGTGCTTTGAACATCCTTGTCCTTATTGCTCACTTGTTATGGCTCGCACGAAGCAGACGGCGCGCAAGTCGACGGGCGGCAAGGCCCCGCGCAAGCAGCTGGCCACCAAGGCGGCCCGCAAGAGCGCGCCGGCCACGGGCGGCGTCAAGAAGCCGCACCGCTACCGGCCCGGCACGGTGGCCCTGCGCGAGATCCGGCGCTACCAGAAGTCCACGGAGCTGCTGATCCGCAAGCTGCCGTTCCAGCGCCTGGTGCGCGAGATCGCGCAGGACTTCAAGACCGACCTGCGCTTCCAGAGCTCGGCCGTCATGGCGCTGCAGGAGGCGTGCGAGGCCTACCTGGTGGGGCTCTTCGAGGACACCAACCTCTGCGCCATCCACGCCAAGCGCGTCACCATCATGCCCAAGGACATCCAGCTGGCGCGCCGCATACGCGGGGAGAGGGCGTAAGTGTCTGGTCAAGAAGCGCCAACTTGAAACCCAAAGGCTCTTTTCAGAGCCACCACGTTTTCAAGTAAATTGGCTGTAAACTGAGGCAACCGTTCTGTTCATCCGTGTACTTGTAACAGAAAGGGCATGGGTTTACAGAGGTCTACTTTAGTCTAAATACATGGGAATAAAACTGGCCCTTTTTAAAATAAGCATTCTAACCACTCATGAGGCAGACAGGGAGAATATGCCCCCCCCAACAGGGAGCCCGATGCCGGACTCGATACCAGGACTCCGGATCACCCCCTGAACCGAAGGCAGACGCCCAACCGCCGAGCCACCCAGGCGTCCCCAAACTGGTCTTTTAAAGGTGGAAAAGTACCTGTTCACCTAGGTCTGAATGAGCCAGTAAGTTTCAAGAGCGACACGAAACCGGCATTTTAAAAGCATCAAATATGGCCTCCTGAGCATGGGTTATAAAAAGAACAGGAATAGTATAGTTTCATAGGCCGTGTAAAAATGTCTAAAAAGCATGGTTTGTCATGAACTATAAGCTCAAGTTGTATTTTTCTGGTCTTAGTATTTTTGCCATTACTGAAATCGCTGCGAAACAAACCTTTAGCGTTAAGTATTCGACTTAAAACACTTGGAATCCTACATGAGTTTACTACAAGCTCCTTCATTGGAACAAAGCAGTTCAGTTAAAGTGAAGACCAATGGTTAAGCTGGGTTCTGACCCCCGCCCGCCCCGAGTTCCCCGGGCTTGGAGGAGGGCTTAAGGGAGGGGACTGCTGGCGTCACATTTCCCGCCTGCGCACTTTCCGTCTCTACATCTGCAGGGGTGGGGCTGGGGTCATCGTTATAAAAAGACCCGCTCTGGCTTGAATTCCCACTTGCTGTTCGTTTGCTTCTCAGAGAGCTATGTCTGGTCGCGGCAAGGGCGGGAAGGGGCTGGGCAAGGGCGGCGCCAAGCGCCACCGCAAGGTGCTGCGCGACAACATCCAGGGCATCACCAAGCCCGCCATCCGGCGGCTGGCCCGGCGCGGCGGCGTCAAGCGCATCTCGGGCCTCATCTACGAGGAGACCCGCGGGGTGCTCAAGGTGTTCCTGGAGAACGTGATCCGGGACGCCGTCACCTACACGGAGCACGCCAAGCGCAAGACGGTCACGGCCATGGACGTGGTCTACGCGCTCAAGCGCCAGGGCCGCACCCTCTACGGCTTCGGCGGCTGAGTTCTGACCTCAACACCAGGAAATCCCAGTTGGCAACCAAAGGCCCTTTTCAGGGCCACCCAACTGCTCAAAAAAAGAGCTGTCTTGATAAACCCTCCGCTGTACTAAAACCCTCTACTGAATCCGGGAAGATTGCAGGGTTTTTAAAGGTAAGACTCGGCCCGGTAGACCATCCACCCACAAGGGTCTCCCGTAGCTGGGCAGTATTTTTGTCTTGGGTCCCCATTCACTGCGCGCGGGCACGAGGGAATTCTAAATTCTAAAGTGGGAAAGCATCCAAGAGCCTGAGGAACTTGAGTGATTTCTAGGAACAAAGAGGAACACTGCCCAATCAGCAAGGCCTATCCGTGCTTGTCGACCAATCAGAATAGGTGATCTACACTTTAACCCCCCCCCCCCCCCGCCTCCCCAGGCGAGTCAGACTGGGGAATGGGAAGGAAGGCTGGCCAGAAATCCCAAAGCCCTCCTTTAGGGATTTTTAAAATGTATCATTCTTCGGATTATGAGATAGACTCAGAGGCCTACCAGTGACCCCCAATCAGGTCCTGAGAACGGTACTGAAGTTTCCGCTACTAACAATGATTTGTCTCGAAAAAACAGTCTGGAAGTGGGCAGGGGAGAAACCAGATTCAGGCTGCCAAAAAACCCAAGGCACTGATTTCAGGGGGAAAGTAACATCAGGTTTATGGCGCAGAAATGCCTTTTTCATTGTCAGGACAGCCTGTGTATCAGTCATACTTTTCCTTCTCGGAAAAGGGGAAGTTAGGGAGATGAAAATGTTCTAAATTAGATTGTGGGGGTGGTTGTACAATAAATATACTAAAATGAATTGTACACTTAACGTGGATGAGTTTTATGGTCTATAAACTGTCTCAGTAAAATACAGTGAGTCTGACAGCCCGCAGGCTGACTGCAGGCTCAGTATGTCAGCTTCAGCCGATGTCTGCCTAGATTTCTGAATCCCCCTTTCCACCTGATAACTGTCCTCCAAGATTTCTTGGGGAATGAGAAAAGTACCTAGTCTGGCTTAATTTAAATTGACAATGGGGAGAAGTCAGAGCTGTATTCTGGATGGCCAGAGGAGCAAAAGGGCCTGGTTGAGAAAGTGGCCATGTTTTGTTCTCCTTAGCTGGTGTTCCTTCAAGAGATATTACTGACCTCATGTAAAGTGCAAGATATTCTTGTAGGCCTTGGGGTACATCTGTAAGCAAACCACTAACAATTCCCTGTTCTGGATCCCGAGTATATGTAGAGAGGTGTTAGGATACAAATTTTCTCTGTAGGAGGGGAGAGGTAGTTGCTACAACAAATATGATTAGCTTCTATTATGGTCGGCCTGGTTTCTTTATTCATGGCCTTGTAGATAGTACCATACCAATTTGAGACATGCTTGCTGCCCTGGGAGAAAACCTCTGAGCCTTCCTCAATCCTAGCACTCATGAAGGCCTTGTTCAGAATAAAGATAATGCTCCCTGACTTGCCACTCTGCATCATTCCTCAGATCTAGAGGAAAAACTGCCATACTGTCATACATTCAGGCAGTGATAAGTCAAAGAACAGTAGATAATCAATTGTGGCAGAACTCTGGTGGGTGGGCTTAGGGTCTTGTATAGAAAATTCATGCATGTATTCATTCAACTGATGGGGTTCAGGACATATTGTCCCTTAATACGCCACCTTGGCATATTAAACACGTTAAACTCCAGGAGTTTAAGCTTCAGAAGCAGGAAAATCACCCTGTCACCCCCTCCACCCCCACATCCCGCCCTCCCCCCCACACACTTTTTTTTTTTTTTTTCCCTGAAAGCAGAAGATAAATCTTTTATGTGAAAGATAGCCTCCTTCACCAGGAGGAAGAGAAACATCCTTATCACCAGAGATGAGAAATTCAGGGCTGAGAAGGTATATGAACAAACCTTATTACTTCTTTACCATTTACTACTTCTAGCCCAAGCTTTGTCTTTTCATTCTTTAGAAATGTATTCTTTCTTTCCCTAACAGATATAAAAGCTTCCTTTTATGCTCACTTTTTTGAACTTCCTATCTTTGTGGGGTTCCTGTAATACACACATGGTTAAATTTGGTTTTCTCCTGTTAATCTGTCTTTTTATTACAGGGAAATCTCAGTCAAGATTTTAAAAGAGTAGAAGGAAAACTATTTATTTCTCTTTTCCCCCACACAATAAACCTTCATAGATAACCTATTAGCTGTCAGTGCTGTTCTAGGTGCTAGGAACACTTCAGGGACAAAACAAAGGCCCTGCTCTCAAAGAATCAATTATATTCCAGTTGGGGGAGACAGAACAACAAACAAACATATCGATATGGGGGGGGGGATGCATAGGCTATTTTAAAGAATGAGCAGGAAGGGCTATTATTTTACATAGGATGGTCAGGAAAGTTCTCTTTCATAAGAGAGTGTTTGAGCAGAGGTCTGAATGAAATGAAGTCTGCAGCCCTCCAGTGACAGGTGGCAGAATATGCCACAAAGAAAAGTCCTCTGACATAAAGATTAAAGGCCCTTGAAAAACAACAGGTACCAGAAGGGACTCTGACCTCTCCTTTTTCTTCCTAAAAGCAGTAGAATAATTCCCCATATGGAAGATGTCATCTTTATATGAGAAGGAAAGTAACATTTTTTTTTTTTTTAACCTTGGATGAGGAATTGGTGCCAGGAGAAATCAGTACAAACAAACCTTGTAAACTAACACTTATCTTCCTGTTACTTTGCCACAATTCAATACCCTAGTCCAAGCCCCTTGCCTTGTCATGTTTTCACAGTTAACTACTCTTCATCCAACTCAGTATATAACTGTTCAAGCCTTAACTACTTCTTTGGGCCTTTTCCTTACAAGGGCGCCTTTGTCATGGAAAACACATTGGTGTATCCAATGACTATACATATGACTATATAAATGAATTGTATGCTTTTCTCCTGTTAACCTGTTTTATGTCAATTTAATTCTTAAGCCCACCAAAAACCAAGAGGATAGAAGTCAAATCCTTCTCCCCTATACCAGGATAAGTGACTTCTATGAAGACAGAAAAGTAAGTACAAAGGCTCTGAGACTGGAACATGTTTGGTCTGTTCCACGAATAGCAAAAAGGTCAGTGAAGACAAAGAAATGCGATAGTAAATGAGATCAGAGGGTGGCCAGAGCCCAGATCATGTAAAGCCATTAGGGTGACAAACTCCTCCTGTTTGCCTGGGACTTTCTAAGTTTTAGCACTGAAAGTCTCACATCCCCAGAAACCCCTCAAACTCGGGCAAAATGGAATTACTGGCTACCTTCCTTGTAGACTGGGATAAAGACACTGGTTTTTATTATGAAGATGGAAAACCACTGGAATGTTCTGAGGGTGGACATGACATCTTTTGAAATAATCACTCCTATTGCTGGGTTAAGGAAAAAACTGGCTATAGAAAGTGGAAATAGAAAGACTAGTTAGGAGTCATGGTCGTCTGGACAAAAGGTTTTTGTGGCTTGTCCAGGAGTAGCCTCATAAGATGTATTTGAAAGGTGCTCTGATTCATTTGTAACATGGAGCTGACTGGATTGGATTAAAGTTATAAGAGAAAGAGCTCAAACAGAACTTCAAGGTTCCTCAGCTAAGCCCCTGGAAGAATGGAGTTCCATTTATTGAGGTGCGGAATACTGGAGGAAGAACAGATTTCATGTTTAGGTGTTAAGATACTTAATTTGAACAAGGCAAGTTTGAGATGTCCGTTAGATATTCAAGTAGATATGTCAAATATGCAGGTGGACACGTGGCAAGCTTCATTATGAAGCTATAAGTGGATGTAAGGAAACTGATAAAAGTTGAGAGGTGATTAAAGCCTCCCTCCTAAAAACAGCCATTGGAGTATGAGAAATATACAGAAGCAGACACATCATAGGCTTTAGTGTCACCACCAGCAGACCTGACACTTAGAGCTAGGCCATAGAGTTTTCCTGTGGAGTGTGAACTATTTCACAGAACATAGGACAGACACATCAATAGTGAGACCAAGAAAAGAGAAGGGGCCCAAGAAATGAGCCATAGGTACTCTAGAGCACATACTGGAATAGTTTCTCTATTCTTTAGTAGGGCTGTATAGCATTCAATTTGTTAGGGACTGTGCGTATCCCTCATAAATTCATGTTGACATTTTGATACCCCGTATGATGGTATCAGGACGTTGGGCCCTGGAGCACCTGGGTGGCTCAGTGGTTGAGCGTCTCCCTTTGCTCAGGTTGTGATACCCGGTCCTGGGATTGAGTCCCTCATCAGGCTCCCAGCAGCGCTCCCTCTAGGTCTCTGCCTCAGTCTCCCATGAATAAGTAAAATCTTTCCCAAAAAAAGGGGTGGGGAAGAGGTTGGGCCCTTGGGTAGTGATTAGATCATGAGCATGCAACATTCAGGAATGGAATTTCTGCCCTTTATAAATAACACTTCAGCAAGCTCTCTGGCCTTTCCCTCTGCCATGTGAGGGCACAGCAGGACAAGTCTATGAAACAGGAACTGGGTTCTCACCAGACCACAAATCTTGTCTGAAACTGTCCTGTCCGTCCTGCCAGCACCTTGATCTTGGACTTCCAGCATCCAGAACGGTTGAGAAAGCAGTTTGTTACTTAACGCCAGTCTATGGCATGTTTGTTATAGCAGCCTGAACTAAGACACCATTGCCTGGATATAGGTAATACTTACCCAGCTTCCTTCCACTGACAATTGACATTTCTACTCATTTACTATTACGATATACTGCAATAAATGGTGTTTAAATTCTTATTGACCTGATCCAGTCTTACTATTTATATGTTGGCAATTTCCAAATTTTTCTCTAAACCCGACCTCAGGAATCTTTTCCAACAGCCTACTCAGTATTTTCCTGCCAGAGATAAGGGTTAGCAGACTAACTTATTTCCTTAGCAGCCATCAATATATTTCTGATGCATTAAATCAAAGATGCTGACTATTCAGTTGTCTGGTTTATCAATTTGAGGGCATACTTCAAAACACTTTTTGAAGATGTCTGAGGGGTTCATTAAAAACCATTTACAGGAGGCAGAAGAGAGAGACCTGGCAAAGGGTCGAAGGGGAAGGTGCAGGACAGTCTGAGCCAGTCCCAGAGGGAGCCCTTCCCTGGAGCCCTCGTGTTGGCACCTACCAGAGGCCTTAGGAACTCGAGCAGTCGGGAGACCGGATCTCCTAAGTGGGAACTCCCAGATTCTGCTTAGCCAAGGACTTGTGGGCGCCCGGGGGCCGGAGACTAAAAATGCCGGGATACCTCAAAATCTAAGGCTACCGGCTGCAGAGCGGGGAGGACACTTGGCCTCACAGGCGGACTGCAAGCGGAGCGGAGGCGGCCAAGGACTGCTCCTGTCCTGACGTCGCTGGGTGGCAAACACGCTGGGAAGAAACACGTAGCTTCTCTCTGGCAATCAGTGGATCTTCATGTTAACTTCCAGTGAGGTGGGACGGGCACCCTCCCGCAACCTTGCATTTACCCAACGTCCCCAGACTAAGGAGCTCAGGGGCGACTGAAATACCACCTCCTGCCACAGCACGGGTTGTGGTTCTATTCCTTCCGGACAAGGGCAGGCGTGACCGCTTCCCTGAGTAAGTGGGCGGCTCCGGTCCGGCCGTTTCCAGCCAGGCCCGGGCGCCTCTAGACGGCTCCTCATTGGTCGCCCCAAGCCAGGGCCGGTCCCGACTGGCGCGAAACCCGACCACGCACTACGTGGCTACCGGATTGGTTGGGCCGGCACCCAGCGGCCCCAGCTGCGCTCAGACTTGTAGTTAGAAGCTCTTGACAGGTAATCGGAAAAATTACACTTGGCTCCCAACAAAAGCCCCGAAACCATACGCGTACAGCCCGGTTTAAGAAAATGTGGGCGGCCCTAAAAAGGGCCTTTGAAGAGTAAATAAAGGAGGAAGTTCTTAGCCACCGAAGCCGTAGAGGGTGCGGCCCTGGCGCTTGAGCGCGTAGACCACGTCCATGGCCGTGACCGTCTTGCGCTTGGCGTGCTCCGTGTAGGTGACGGCGTCCCGGATCACGTTCTCCAGGAACACCTTGAGCACCCCGCGGGTCTCCTCGTAGATGAGGCCCGAGATGCGCTTGACGCCGCCGCGCCGGGCCAGCCGCCGGATGGCGGGCTTGGTGATGCCCTGGATGTTGTCGCGCAGCACCTTGCGGTGGCGCTTGGCGCCGCCCTTGCCCAGCCCCTTCCCGCCCTTGCCGCGACCAGACATGGCCAAAGCGCTCTGTGCGACGACCTCACGGCGCTGGGCCTGCGCCTCCGCCGGGAGTAATTATAAGCAGGCGTCGGACCTCGTTGAGAACTGAAGGCGCGGGCGGGAAGCGGGGCTCCGGCCCCTCCTCGGGCTCCGCCCCCTCGGGCCGCGCTCCCGGGACCATCACGTGAGACACGGAGCCGGGCGCTCGCCGCCGAGCTCGGCGGGTTCCGCACCCCAGGGCTGTTCGCATCTGCAGCCTCCCCTTCTTCCTTAGCAGAATGTGATTAGGGGCTTCCAGTTTCCAACACAGTCCTGCACTTCCTCGTCCCCATTGGAGTAATTGTTAGCTGGGAAGGGTACCCCGAGATGCCACCCCAAAATAAGACCTGCCGTCGCAAAATGGGCCACTTTGGTAGGAAGGGGAGAAGAATATGACACCCCAAAATAGGCCTCGCACAAAGGGCTGTTAGAACAGATTATTTTTAGGAAACAGACGCAGGAGAGTCTAAAACCAGAAAAGTCACTCTTCTTTAACTCCCAACAATATAGACAACACAGATAACGTATATAATAGTTAGTGAACGTTGGTCTTAAATAACACCATGTAATAAAGTACAAGACGTTGATGAATTCTGGATTTTTTAGTTTTGTCAAGTATAGCTGACATACATTATACTAGTTTTAGGTGTGCGGCAGTAAATTGAGGTTATATACATTATGAAATGCTCATCATGATAAGTGTTTTTGCCACCTGTTACCAAAGTCATTATGATTATATTCCCTATGCTATACTTTGCATCCTTGTGACTTATTTGTCGGATAACTGGAAGTTTGTACCTTTTAATCACCTTCACCTATTTCGCCTGTTACCCCCCACCCCCACAACTACCAATTTGTTCTCTGTATTTGTCTCTTTGTTATGTTTTTTTAGATTCCACACGTAAGTGAAATCATATGGCATTTGACTTTCTCTACCTTATTTCATTTAGCATATGCCCCGTCAGTCCATCCACATGAATAGCAAGATTTCATCCTCTTTTTATGCTAATATTCCCCTGTATATACAATTGACCCTTGAATTATGCAGGGGTTGGGGCACTGACCCCTGCACACTTGAAAATCCGAATATAACTTTTGACGGACCCTAAACTACCAAAACCATAGTTGAATAGAAGCCTTACCCTAATTAACATAGTTTATATATGTATTCTATGCTGCATTCTTACATAAAGTAAACCAGAGAAAAGAAAATGTTACCAAAAGAATCATAAGGAAGAAACGTTTACAGCAGCATGTCGTATTTATTGGAAAAAACTCTGCAAATAAGTGGGCTCAGCCAGTTTAAACCCTGATTGTTCAAGGATCAATTCTATATACCACATTTTCTTTATTTTTTTCAAAAGATTTTATTTATTCATGAGAGACAGAGACAGAAGCAGAGGGAGAAACAGGCTCCTCTAGGGAGCATAATGTGGGACTTGATCCCAGGACCCCTGGATCACCGCCTGAGCCAAAGGCAGATGCTCAACCACTGGGCCACCTAGGTGCCCCTTTATCCATTCACCTATTAATTGACAGACTGTTTTGTTTTTCATACATGACATGTCAAATACGGTTGTCTGAAAATACTCCCGTGCCCTGACCAAGGGAGCATTGACCATGTCAGCTTTCTGGCTGCTCTGAAGTCACTGCTGGAATGCAGTTCAGTCTCTCAACTAACTTCCCACTGTTAAGTCTCCCTAAAACACTCATTGCTTAGTAAGTCACTTCTCTTGGGATGACTGGAAGGGTAACTGCTGAATTTTTAACTCTGAAAAATGCACCCTGATTTTGGTTTCCTCCTCTCTTAAAGTCTGTAACAAACCAAACGTGGTTCTAAACACCAACAGCATTAGCTGCAAACTTCAGCCTGTGTTGTAATATCACTCTGTGGTGCCTGGGAGAGAAAAATCCTATGTGACTGAGGACCTTGCAACAGCTATTTCAAAGATACAGTTTGTACATTAAACACTCCTTTTTTTCCTCCAGCGTTACCTTAGCCACTCTGCTAATAAAAAGTAATAAATGTTTAATGCAATGATATTAAAATGTTAGAAAAACCTCCAGTTCAATATGTTCAGTAAATTTTTTTTTGCAAATGCGAATTTCTTCCATTCTTTGATTTTACAATTCCTGCTGAAGTTTTATTTCCAAACTGAGTGACAATGTCATGCCAAATGAAAAGGAAATTTAGAAGCTAAATTTTGCATTTGTATTTTAATTTAAAAAATCTTAGAATTTTTTTTAGGGGGGAAAATTATAGCTCAGAGAAATTGATAGTACTCATACAATGCTATGTGTCCAAAAATCAATTCATGTTATCGCAATAACAGTTCTGAGGTAGGTAGAACTCCCATTTTTCTGATGGAGAAATCACTGTGGGTAGAAGGGCACAGTAACTCGTACAACTGGGATTTGAATGCTGGCAATCTACCATCTAAATGCTGCTCTGTGCTGCCATCTTCCAGAGTACTCCTGGAGAACAAAGTTATAAATTCTAAGAGGGTGCTAAATTTACCTTCGTAGACACTGGGCAATTATTCTGTTGAGGGGCTCAAGTAAATGAAGATGTAAAGCCTTGATTCTTGACCCTTGGCTGGGAAAGGGGTGGCAGGTGTGGGGTGAGGAACAGCCCTTCTGAGCCACTGTCCCCAAGCCATCTAACCCTCAGACACCAATGATTACTTTTAGTTTTTAAAACTATCCTCTTAGGGCCTGTACCTAAAATACCCTTTTCCTAACAGATACAGAAAATATTAGGGGAAAAAGCCAAACAAGGTACGTAAGAGCCAGCACAGATATAAGAAAACCCTAGAGAATTGGACTTCAGCTGGTACCCAGAGCTGGAGAGCAGTCACCCTACTTCAAGCCAAGGTTCCTGGAGTCTCTGACAGACCCTTTATAGGGGTAGCAGGGGTCTGTGCCAGGGTTCCATGTACAAGAGTCTGGAAAAATTGAATGTCAAAAATATAACACAGTGACACACACAAACACACAGAAATGTCCAATCTTATTTTTTTAAATGCAAGTATGTTGTAAAGGAAAGTTTGCTTTATTAAAATCATGGAATGTAAATAAATCCAAGGAAACTACATAATTCAAGTTTAATCTTCTGTGTTTTGTGTTTCTTGTCGAGTTTACCACGATTTAATATGGTGCATCAACTGACATCTCAGACAGGCCCCAAACTTTGAGGTGTTTAAGAGCTAAGGTGTAGAGAGCCAAACAAGCAAAACCTTTGGAATTTGGGGTTGTCATGTTCTACAGCATTCTGTACTTTCATAAGGCTAAAGGTAGCAATTTTGAAAATAATTGTTTTCCAAAACAATGAGGTAAAATATGGAAATTAAATTTCAAAAGAAGTTATTTTTTTCAACAGTCAGACACTGTTGGATCATCTTCCTTCCAATACTGAATCCCCAACTCCAAAAAAGAGCAAGATAAAAGAAAATTGGGTTACAACTCCTAAACTTGAATGGAAACTACAGCTGAGAACCATGAAAAAATAATGTAGCATGGCCCTGTAACAAATAAAGCCATACAACCAACCTGTAGCAGGGCCACAAATAATGTATTAAATAAAGGGACTTGATAAATTATGCTTCATCAACTGATCAACACTTCTGAATGGGTAGGTAGCTATAAATAAATATGCAAGAAGTTGGGAGCTTACCAGTCATGAGACCACTTCAGGCTAACCAAAAAATAAAAACGTAAAACTTACTGAGGTGAGGAGTCGTATCTGATAAATACTAAAAATACGTAAATATTTGTTATAATTTCAAACTTGGATTCGGAATCTGAACATTTTCCAGACCTCATGGACACTGATGAGCAAAGAGGTTCTTAGAGGTTATATTCTAGAATCTGCGGTTTTAAAAAGATCCTAGGAAGATCCAAACAGCTGAAGGGACAGCCCACGTGCCACACTGGTGTTTAAACAGCTGTTTCAGTCAACCTGCACTCATTTACTTCTAAAAATCGTAAATGCTTTTTGCCCTTTTCTTTGTTGAAAAAAAGTGATCCTTCAGCCGGAGGGGTGTGGGGGATGCCAACGATCAGGTAAGCGCTGGTTCCTAATACATTTAGTGTGGTCCTGGCTAATTAGCTATCACAGCACTTCTGTGGAGTTAAGTGGGTGGCTCTGAAAAGAGCCTTTGGGTTTCAAGTTGGCGCTCCTTGACCAGACACTTACGCCCTCTCCCCGCGGATACGGCGCGCCAGCTGGATGTCCTTGGGCATGATGGTGACGCGCTTGGCGTGGATGGCGCAGAGGTTGGTGTCCTCGAAGAGCCCCACCAGGTAGGCCTCGCACGCCTCCTGCAGCGCCATGACGGCCGAGCTCTGGAAGCGCAGGTCGGTCTTGAAGTCCTGCGCGATCTCGCGCACCAGGCGCTGGAACGGCAGCTTGCGGATCAGCAGCTCCGTGGACTTCTGGTAGCGCCGGATCTCGCGCAGGGCCACCGTGCCGGGCCGGTAGCGGTGCGGCTTCTTGACGCCGCCGGTGGCCGGCGCGCTCTTGCGGGCCGCCTTGGTGGCCAGCTGCTTGCGCGGGGCCTTGCCGCCCGTCGACTTGCGCGCCGTCTGCTTCGTGCGAGCCATTCTGAGAGCGGAAAAAGAGCCTTCCCAAGAACCGGTGAAAACCGAATAGCCCTCCTTCTTTTATACAGCCAGGCCGACAACTATTGGGCCCCAAAACATTCAAAAGTACCCGCGCCCTCCCCGATTGGCCCAGCTCCGTGCCGGGTGCCCGGATTAAGAGTTGCTTTCGGGTTGGTGAAGAGATCCTAAACCCTGCCCCTCACTCTAGCTATTCTGACGTCATTTATTTACCGTTTCCCCTTCTTATATCCACCGAGTACAAAAATCCTGCATGCATAGAGAGCTTCAGGTTATTTTTGAAATGTAAGGTAGTCGTGCACAGCAATATAGTAATTTCCAATGTTTTTTTAAAAAATTAGACATCAAGGTAATTTGCAGGTGCTTAGGGGAAAATACCAATGGGCTGCGTCTAAAATGAAATTATTTTCTTGGGTGTGGCACAAATATTGTGGAGAGTTGGGAAAATGCCCCTTCTTTACAAGCGCGAATTATCAAGGTTCTGTGACTTGTGTGCAACGTTCCCATCAACTTTAGACCTATAGACCTATAGGCCTTGAGAACTTGGGTTCAAATGGAGAACTCCGCTCTTTTTATTATTTTACAAAACGTGAGCTACGATGCTTGCGAAAAATTTTCATTTCAATAAATACCAAATACCTTTTCTGCTGGACTTGGAAACTAGCCCACCTAGTATGGCTAAACACGCTGTCAGTACCATTAGCTACTAAATTCCTGTGTCGCTTCTCCCTCGAAACGAACGTCATGGACCTTTTTTCGGGAACTAAAGGTTTCTGAGGAAAACGGTTGACAGTTCACCTTCGATTTTCAAAGATTAATGCTTAAAAGCGAACTAGCTCTTTTCATGGAAAATGTGGGTGGCTCTTAAAAGAGCCTTTTTAGGTTGTTAACTCTTTCTTGGTTAGGAAAAAGCCCGTCTGGGAGAAAAAAAAAAAAGTTTTACTTCCCCTTGGCCTTGTGGTGGCTCTCGGTCTTCTTGGGCAGCAGCACGGCCTGGATGTTGGGCAGGACGCCGCCCTGCGCGATGGTCACGCGGCCCAGCAGCTTGTTGAGCTCCTCGTCGTTGCGGATGGCCAGCTGCAGGTGGCGCGGGATGATGCGCGTCTTCTTGTTGTCGCGGGCCGCGTTGCCCGCCAGCTCCAGGATCTCGGCCGTCAGGTACTCCAGCACGGCCGCCAGGTACACCGGCGCGCCCGCCCCGACCCGCTCCGAGTAGTTGCCCTTGCGGAGCAGGCGGTGGACGCGGCCCACCGGGAACTGGAGCCCGGCCCGCGACGAGCGCGTCTTGGCCTTGGCGCGAGCCTTGCCGCCCTGCTTCCCGCGACCAGACATGGCAAACGTAAGAGAAAGGAAACGCGTTCCGAGAAAAACGCGAGCGATCTAGAGCTAAGCTGAGAGCGAGAGAAGTATTTATACTAACGGGAGGTAGGCTGTCTGCCGGTCTCCCATTGGCTACATTCAATTACCAATGGAAAATCAGAGTCAGCATCCTTCATTTGCATACAAGCCCTCGGTCTAGCGAGAGGTTTTTAAATGCTCCAATGTAACCCGCTACAAAAGGCTTTTATTTTAATGTTAATAATGAGTCAGTTTAATACTTTCAATAATACTTTTTAAAAATGCAATCAGAAGCGGAAGTGATGTTCCTCATTGCTCTGTCTTTTGGCTGTCGTTTTTCTAGGATTGTGATCAATTGTGGAAAATAATAAGCAAAAATTGCAAAATAAATAACATTTAAGAAGTATATCTATGCCAGCAGGTGCTTTAACTTTTTGAAAGTCACAACAGAAAAGAAAGGAACAATTCTTCCGGGGCTCCTCGGTACCGCAGTTGGTTAAGCATGGGACTCTTGGTGTAGGCTCTGGTCCTGATTTTAGGGTTGTGGGACTGGGCCCCAGGAGCCCCAGGGAGGGCCTCTCTCTCAGCGTGGAGTTGGCTTGAGATTTTGTCTCCCTCTGCTCTCCTCGCCCCATCTGCCCTCCTCCTTTCCTCCATGCTTGCTCTCAGATAAATAAGCAAATCTAAAACAAACAAAAAACCCCACACTATTCTTTGTCAGAGCCCATGTCTCAAAATATCTGATCAATGAAAACTGAAGGCAGGAACTGGACTATCCAGTCCCTGACCTACGACAGCAAGTTTTCTGTTTTGACCTTTATCTTACAGTTGTGGCCTTATCGGACCACCCTGAGGTATATAAAGCACTGTTTTCATTTTAGAGATTGAAAAATTTATAGAGACTGAGATCCATTGTTTTACCTTGTGCAGGTTCATGCTGAGTTAATGAGACCAAGGACTGCAAACTCCTGACTGGGAAAGTCATCATTCCCAGTGCCATTCCCAATTCTACCTTCTCTTTTCCCGCTTGGCAGAAAGGATTCTAGCTGGGTCAGGAAATTCCTCTGTTGTCAAGAGAGATTGCCGGGAGAAATGCTGCTGTTTTTCCTTTTACAGTCCATGAGATAGAACTAGATGGGGCCCAGATGGAGGGGAATAATTCTTTCAGGAATCTTTGCAGGCTCAAGCTTAAAGATCTTCTGATTCCCAAACAGGATGGTAAAAGGAACAAGAGCTTATGTGTAAGAAAATCTGTACATAAGCCAACTCTGTCTGAAAACCATCTTTTGATCCAAGGAACCTGGCAGGAGTGTCAAGGTGCTCATCTTCTGTTTCTTTTTTGCCTCCTAAGTCTTCTCACTCTTATGATTTTTTCTTGTAACAATATTCAACCTCCTTTTATTTTTTTTATCATTATTTTCACTATCAACAGCAGTGATAAACAATAACCACTGGCTCAGTGTCTTTGCAAGACCCCAGGTGGAGATATAAAACGATATCTTAAATTCTGCTTTGAAATCTTCATACTCTTTTGAAAAGGGAAGGCTTGTATGCCTGGATTCTAAAGAGTAATGCATTCTACATCCCAAAATGAAGGCTTTAATAATAGTAATATAATAATAATAATAATAATAATAATAAGAAGAAGAAGAAGAAGAAGAAGAAGAAGAAGTAATGTGGAGGAGAAGAGTAATCCCTGTGAATTAGAAGGGACAGGAGAATTCACAAGGGAGATAAACATCGAACATTCAGTCAGTGTATATATACATGCCAGTGTTCCAGGTACTTGGAGCACAGCAGTGAAAAAAACAGATAGCATCCTGTGTGTACCCTTGTGGTGATGCTCTTCTAGTGTAGAGAGGCCCACAATAAGCTAAATATGTAGTAAAAGTGTATGATGCATTTTTTTTGTGATGAGTGGTACAAACAAAAAGTGGGAAATGGGCATACATGAGACATACAGGGATATTCAGGGCAAGTGTCACTAAGAGGGTAACATTTGAGCTTGAACCTGAAAGAGGTGAAAAAGCTAGCCGAACAAGAAGAATAAATGCTTCAGTAAAAGGCCAAATGCATCCAAGGCCAAGGGAATATCAGCAGCCAAGGGCCAGGAAATAGAACTGATTCAATTTCCTAAATACATTGTAGGTCACTTTCGATGGAGCAGTGGGTATGTACAGCACTAGGTAAAATAGAAGGCAGGATTAAGGGCTGTTTCAAAAACCCAGACTAGAAGCTGAACTGCGAACAGTCATAGCATCAATAATCTATATCCACTGAATCATGAATGAGAATAAACCTAGTTATCTAGGTAGCCCTGTATCACACAAATCAACAAACACTGGACCTCTGCTATGAGTAGAACAACTTGATGAGATCCTAATAGCAAGTTCTCAAAATCAGCAAATTCTAGGCATTTGCCTCTAAAAAATAATGTGGAGGGCAGATATGAGGAGGGAGATGATGGTGTAAATTCTTCCAAAAATATGAGAAAAAAAGTAGTTGTCCCCAGTACACCTCTTCTGCCAGGTTCAGGACACTTTGACGCATATGGGTTTGTATAAATAAGAAAAGAGAATACCTGTTCTTTGTTGAATATAAATTTAAAAAGTACGATGTTACTTGAACACACTTGAAAAAAATCAGCTGGCATTAAAGTTATTGGTGAAAGAGTCCAGAACATGCCCTCCCCAAGTATGCTACTATGGCATATAGACTAGTTTGAGTTACAAGAATTTGAAAAAGAACAGCTGTGAGGACAATCTCATTTTCTCCTTTTTTTTTCCCCCTTAAAAGCAGGAGTTGAAATTCCTATGTGAAAGAAGTCCTCCCTACACCAGAAAGAGTCATCTTTCTCACCATGGACAGTAAGTTGAGGCTGAGAGAAATCTGTGCAAATATTGTTAAACTCCTATCTTCCTGTCTCCTCACACAATGAACTACCCTAGCCCCAGCCCCTTTGCCTGTCACCTTATCATAATTTACTGTACTTTGTCCAACACACTAGGTAAGCATTAAATTCTAACTGCTTCTTTGGATTTTCATTTTTTTTGCAAAAACTCCCATGTGCATATAAAGAAAAATAATTAAAACTTGTATATTTTTTTCTTATTTTAAAGATTGATTTGAGAGTGAGAAAACAAGCAGTGTGGAGAGGCAGAGGGAGAAGGAGAGAAGCAGACTCTGCTGAGCAGGAAGCTTGATACAGGGCTCAATCCTAGGACCCAGAGAACATGACCTGAGCTAAAGGTAGACACATAATCAACTGAGCCACCCAGGTGCCCTGTAAAACTTATTCACTTTTATCCCATTAATCTATGTCAGTTGAATTCTTAGACCCAGTTGGAAACCCAGTGAATTCTTAGACCCAGTATAGAGAAAAGTTGTTCCTCCCCTATAAATAGAACCATTTGAAAGACCCTAAGTTTGAAGATGTTCAAGCCTAGACTCACTCACATGAACACTGCAAGAGTTACAGTTATAAATGCTTTTGACTCATTAATTTATTGAGAGCCACCTGTTGTTTACCTCTTAAAAATATATATTATTTTTTTAAAATAGACTCCACATCCAAGTATTTGAAGAAAAAATGACCAAGAATTCTGAAATTTGACAAAAGACTTAAACCTATAAATTTCAGAAGCTACACAAACACCCA